TATATATATATATATAATTATTTGTATTGAGAATTTCTATATTTTAGTTTAATTGACTTTTTCCAGGCTGTAGAGTCTCTGGAAATAAACTGATTTGATTTGATTTAATCATCTTCGTATCTCTCATAGTTTCTGAGATCCCAATGATGAGGATCGAAACACCCTGTATACATATTGCCTAATTGGGATCAGGTACTTGCGCCTTCAAAGTGATTGATTAACGATAACACGCAAATGTCATCTCTTGATTTTCTTCTGATACCGACTTTGCCATAAATGGTAGCTCCTCCATGACTTCTTTTTTCACTACAGAAGCTGGATATCATATGAAACCCATCAAAGCAGTAATATATTTCAGAAAACATGGATAACAAATTTTTTTCATTCATCAATCATCAACCCAGAAAAATCTTATGCAAAGATGAGTATAGTTGTTATCAAAATTAAAATCTGTACATACCTTCATGTTGAAGATTTACTTAGATGTGTATGAAAAAAAAACTTTTCATATAATATAAAACACCTGAACAGTTATCTACAATTGTATTGTACGACTCATTTAGCAGTCAAGTAATGACCGCTCTTATTTTTCAACAAATTAAATTCTCCAAACTATTCGTTAATCAGTTAATAACAAAACCAAAAAGTTGATTTCACAGGTTTTTCGATAAGTCAAGTCCTCATATCAATAATTTCAAATGCGTTAACAATGTGAACACGTCCGTTAGTTGCTCACCTGCTTGTTCAAATATAACTGAAATGCTAAAAAAAGTACTTGAATAAAAAATAACACTCAAAGAGAGTCTACTTGATTTCAACGTTTGTTATACAGATTGAAATTGAAAAATATATACAGATATGAAACTTCAAACCACCTTTCATTTCTGTGTTCGATATTTACTAGCAGATACCAGTCTTCTTAATATTTTGGAGCTCTAGGATCTCATAATAAAATAGAAGACAAAAGTAATATTCCTTTCAGAATCCACTGAATACATGGACGACTGTAGAGATGGTTTCGTGAGTGATTGTGATATCAAAAAAAAATCATGTGTTGTATTTTCGAAGGGTGGTTGTTTTCCACACTTCATATTTCTCGAATATTTCTCAAATTTTGTTAATTTTATTCAGTTCTGACATTTTTTCAATCAGAATTGTTGGTTGAAAAGTGTATGATTATATTATTGGTGAAAATCTCATTGTGGATGAACATGAATTGCAATCACTGGGTTGACCCATTTAGAGTCCATCCATTGACATTCAGGCATTTAGAATATTCATACTGTAAAATCTAATTTTCAATTGTTAACATTTACAGGTTTCTTTATATTATCTGGCAAATTGTTGATCACTTACATGTTGTGTATATTGTATGGGGGAGCTGATTGAACTATGAAAAATATTTTTAAGAATAGCTCTTCTGATGGTATTGTTCTTACACAATTAGGCGAAAACAAGTATTTCAGTATCCTAATGAGTTCATTATGTTTTGTCAATGAACGGTAATTATGAAGCACTGTTTGGAACCTTTGGTGTAGTAATGAATATTACTGGAGTTCGTTCCCAACAACAAATCGTTATTTTTATTTGAAAATTTAAAAATAACTTTGAATTTTTAAATGAAAATAACGATTTGGTGTTGGGAAAGAACTCCAGTAACATTCATTACTACAACATCGGTTCCAAAGAGTGCATCATAAGTACATAATGACGGCCAGGTCAACGGAACTGAATCTGTATCGTAGGTATTCAACTAAAATTAGGCTAATACAAGCAGATATTTGGTTTCTAAAGAGCTGTAGAAGATATTCAGTTTTTCCAAATTTTGTTAACGTAAATATTCCTATTAAGCTTTCACTTGCTGATAAAGTCCAAAAATTCACCAAAGAAAAATGGCTTGATTTAGAAATCGATCATCTGTACACTAACCGTAGTCTCTTAGAATTAGATAGCTATAGTCTATTTAAGAAACTGACATATAGATTAGACGAAAATGATTACGTACAATGGAATGACTTTCAGAGAGGAATGTTTCGGATGATTGATTGAAAATATATCAGAAAAATGTGTACACTGAATAAGAAACTCAAAACCCTCATATCTAAGAATACACCAAAAGAAACAACTCTGAAAGTCATAAATATTGTTGAAAATCATTCATCATAATGGTTTGATAAGGAAGAGATCAACCTTTTGAACAACGGTTCAAAATTTGGCATCCCGCCTTCCGAGAAAGTTCTTGAGTTCGATTCAATATATGCCCGATTCCTCGAAGGTACTAGTTCGAGAAAAAGTCAGGAATCAAATCTCCAAGAACATGATAACCGATAAACGGAAGCATTAAAAAAACAACGATAAAAACCAAAAGAAACTTATCAAACGATTGAAAGACAAGGACGTTTTTTATTTGAAAGCCGACAAAGGTAACAAAGTAGTAATTCTCTATAAATCGGACTACTACGAAAGGGTCAATGCTCTTATTACTAACGGACCGTATGCGAAATTGTCCAGGAACCCGTTACCAAAGATGATTGCCGAAGTAAAAGACGTCCTCAATAAATGCGACAACATACTTACCTCTCAACTGAAACGGAAGTTTTCAACCCAACGGTGTCGAAGCTATATTGCCTCCCAAAAATCCACAAACCGGGAGAATCAATGCCGACAATGCCATTGTGTCAGCTATTGTAAATTTACCTAAAGTACCTGAAATATCTGAGTTAAGACGCTATGGCCGTATAAAGAGACAGACAACAGGATGACCAGTTCAGTTTGAGGAGTGCCAGATTCTCTCAGTCAAAAAATCAAAAATCAAAAACTCTGCTTTACTTTGCCAAGCTTTCGCTTCTAGTGGGAAGCTTTTTCAGGGCTGTAAAAATGAGTATAAAACAATTAATTGAACATATAAATCGAAGAAAAAAGTTAAACATTAATGGAGTTTTTTGGTTTGACTGAGAGATCCCGTTATTCCATTCTACTGTACATTTCTCCAGTCGCTAAGTTTCTCAACTTCAAATAACAATAGGGTTCTTCGAAACATGTGAAGGTATGACATTTGTCAAACCAAAAAACTCCATTAAAGTTTAACTTTTTTCGTCGATTTATATGTTCAATTATTTGTGAAGGTAGAAATTTTATTTTTCAATATCAAATCGTCGCTTTTCCCGTCACAGAAAAAAATTGTGTATTATTCACGGGAAAAAATATTAGAATTTTTTTCACAACCATTAAGAGAGTCATAGTTACGACCGCACCGGGGGGCCTGGGGGGGCCGGTTAGGCCTCCCAGACGTACCCTGGCGTTGGATGCGATCGGGTGTGGAGGGGTGGATTTTCGGGAAATCCTTGCGGGTACCGCCCCTCACCCCACACCAACAGGATTTCGCAGGGCTTCCTCCCGCTCACCGAACCCGGAATTGCTTCCTTACATCTACTTAGTGTGGCTAACCAAGAGACAGGACCATCGGCAGCGTTCGACCGAACGTTCGTACAAGTTAACTAAGCTCCTCTTTCGCCAGAGAGTGCTCGCGTCGCACACCTGCCCCCGCCAACCATGCCAAATCAATTGGGAATATGGTCCCGGAAGTGGCCGGCCGGGGTCCTAAGCTCGGATACTAGTAGCTCCGTCCAACCGGGTTCCGACACCTCAAGCGTCTGCCTTGGTGCCCTCCAAGGCTAGACTCGGATACTAGAGCCCGGAAGGACCACAAGCCCCGACACCTCGAACGCTTGGATCCGTACAGAAGCAGGCGAGGATCACGGAACAGCATAAGCCGTCCAGTGCCTCATAATGGGGCTGCAATGCACCCATGAATGGATTACCGCAGCCCTGTATCCCTTTACCCGCTAGCGGAGCCGCTGCCCCTAAGAGGCCAACGCCAGTTGGAGATGAGGCTCACTAACCTCCAGCCGCGAGCGGGCACTCACCTCCCCCCTAGAACTCATGTTAGGAAAGTTCCCTTTCCAACGTTTGATGAGTAACCGTCGAGGACTCTCACGAGCATCCTCTACCACACATCATATGTCGAAGATGTCGCGCCCATTACCCGTATAGGTGCGGGATAGGGCGGTTCATCAACAACTTTTGGGTGTACGCCGTGTGGTCTGCACCGCATACCCTTACGTTACCCCTAGGGGCACTCATGTTAGGAAAGCTACCTTTCCAGCGTTGGATGAGTAACCGCCGAGGGCTCTTGCGTGACACCTCTCCCACACATCTAGCTTGAAATCGGCCAACGCCTGTTGCCCGCAGATGCGGGATAGGGTGGTTAACCGATATCTTTTTTGCAAATAGATTTATTCTGATTTCAGACTTATCAGTCATTAGTCACAACAAGCTGTAGGACTTATCATCAGTCTTGAACACAATCACAAATTTTTGTGTTGCTATTAGAGCGTGTTTTTTTAGTTTTCAAAACTATTATTTATTCGTCTCAAGTTTGGATGACGAAGCTTTTTCGTATTCACAGAGTAGATTAAATGAACTGCCAATCGTTGTGTTATTTGTCAACATTCACATGCAATTTGACTCTGGAGGAAGAGTCTCCAAAATCTTGCAGATCTTTAATAATTCTGGTAGATCACATTTACAAGTGTTTTCACGTACTGATTCATCATTGGTTGATTTCATTTTGCAGAATATTCCAAAGATTTTTGAGTTTGGATGTATGAAATGGAATATCATCTTCTGCGTGTCGTGTGTAGTTGAAGAAATTCATGAACATCTCATATATTTTGTCCTCAACAGTGCCATCTTACAGAAAATGTGATTCTTGCCACATGTCACGATCAGTTGTGTCTCTCATTTTTTGAGTCATATTTACTTTGAGTAGGTAGCAGTGAAGCACTACTGTCTTTCAACTCCTTCTCATACTTTGTTTTCAAGTTTGGGTTGCGTTTTCTGGTAAAGGTTCTGGTGAATTACGAATTTTTCGTAATAATATGCCGCTCTTGTATTTTTACAATGACCAGTTGACTTACCGTCAAGTAATACTATTCTTACTTCAGAGGCATCCTCTTTGCTTAGAGTGGATTCAGCTGAACAAAAATGATTGCTTCAGAACACTCGTCAATGTCAAACATTTTTCAGCGGGGGAATTTCAACAGTTTCTCATAATTTAAAAACCTCTCTTATATTCTGGAACCTCGAGCTAGGTAACCACGATTTGCTACCATGTTGAAGTAGAGAAAAAATCTTACATAAACTCTTAAATGAATAGATTCATTGTAGAATGACTTGACTCACTTTTTATTACGTCTATAATCTAATAACTACAGGTAAACATATACATATACAAAAACATTAATGAATTATGAAAATAATTCTTCAACAGTTACACCATAAAAATAAACTGAAAAAATTTTGATCAAAATTTCACGGAGAAAGTTCTCTGAAAATAAAAAATTATTGTTTTTTTATCATTCAAAAATGATTTAACTAGGATGATTAGAATACTCAAAAATGCTCAAAAACATCATCTTTAATAAAAAGAGAAATGGAAATTTCTATATTTTTTACCACTTTTAAGTGGTAAAAAATAGAAATTTTCATTTATCTTTTCATTATGATCTCCTACCACGTAGTAACGGCTACATCCATCAATTTTTAACATTTTACTCTTTATTTTTCGAGAAAAGTTAAGGAAGTCAATAAGTAATAAAATTTACGCACTATTGTTTGAGAAAAATGGCCTATTATCGATCTCAAACTGTATATTGATTTATTGCATGTTCCAGATACCCTTAAAAAAAGTTACATATTTTGCTGGTAAATATCATTTTGGTGGATTTTCGAAATTTCTCAACTTGCCAAAAGTCTCATAAGTAATGCTGGGCTGAACTATGATTTAATTGTTGTTCTTGATTGTCCTTGAAGGACAAGCCTAAGTATAAGTGAGCATAAAAATACAGACCCTGTATGAAAAAATTATGGTCGTATTTTGATAGTTCAATAAAAGTTTCAATGGAGAAGTGGTATTAGATTTACAATATCTTTGTATATGTATTGCCAACATAATTAAATATAAACTTAATCAGTTCTGAATGTAGTTCCTTATGCTTTATAAAGTAATTCATGGCTGTGCCCAACGAAATCATTTGTTGAACCAATCAGATTTTATCAAATCAGCAGCTTTCTCTCCAATGGCATACGCTGGCACATTTATATGAGCAGTCAGAGGAAGTGGTATAACACCTGTGTCGACCACACGTAACTGTTTTATTCCATGAACTCTCAAACGAGGATCTACTACTGATGCTCCATTATTCTTAGGACCCATTTTGCAAGTAGCAACTTGATGGTAGAGACTGCCAATGACGGTTCTCAGCGAACATTCCCAATATTCGTCACTATTGAACTGGTAGCCTTCACAACCTGAAAAGGAAATATACTTTGGAAAATTCTTATTATTACGTCATGAAACAAAAATATGTTGAGCAAAAGGATGGGCTGATAAGAGCGCGCCACGTGACTGGGTGGTCTGTTTCGTTAAGGGATATGTCTGATCCTGATTGTCTGTCTGCATGAATTATTTATCTTCACGGAAAATTCAAATCTCCCTCCACGATGTTCTGAGATGCAGAAACGTGAGCTCTGATTAGCTGGTGAACTGGGTGACAGTTTGACGACACTACGTGACAATTTGGTATACTCTGATTGGTTCACCGCCTAGCTAGCTGGGTGACGGTTTGAGGACACCACGTGACAATTTGGTGCACTCTGGTTTACTGGGTGGTCTGTCTGTCTTGTCTGGCGAGCTAAGAAGCAACCTGACTTGTGTGATGACGTCACTGTCTGCCTGAACCGACGTAACTCCTACTTTCGAAAGAAAGAAAGCATTTAATTTTGATATAAACTATTTAGATGTGTAGATCATGCATTGAAGTTACTTTCAGACACGAGCTGAAAGAAAAAAGCCCTCCCCAAACAGCTACTTTCACAAGAACATTGAATTACACGAAGAGAAGGTATTTTTGAAACAAATACTCCTCTATCATTATAAGGAAATCACTATTTCCTATTTACTTTGCACTCCAAACATTCGTTGTGGAATTGAATCAATGTTCATGTGGAAGAACTTGATTCGGGAGATCTTTTTCCTGCCAGTTTGCATCTGAAAATAACTTTGCATGATCCACACATATTTGTGTGTTCCATTTTCAACAACTTATTTTCTTGCTTTCTTAGCAAGTTTTCCTTAAACTTATTCCTCGCAGTCAACGCATATACCATTGATAATGTCTGCCGCTGTAGCAGACAGAATTTGGTACTTCATGTTCCATTTTATTTCAGCCTACCAGGCTAGATTTTGTTCTCTTCATAACTTAAAAATACTTGAAAAGATTCTGTGAGAAATATTTTCATATCCTCTTGCAATTATCACTTTTGTCGAATTTGGCAACAATTTCACAAGACGAAACTTGTTCGAGCTGAAGATTAACGAGATCTTTTCTTTCAACGATTCATAGCACCGGTTGGACGATAAGCAGTAAAAATCAATCGTCCAGGAGTAGGGCTCGAACCATCGTTCCACATAGCGGTGTGACAGATCTCACATGAAAAATAATATTTTTTACTTACATTAGCACTTACCAGGTATTTTAGTGTCAACTATTTGAGCTCCATATCTTTGTAGAGACGGACTTTGGCTGATCCTTTGTATTTCCCTTATTGCCGCTATGAAAGTTCTGACATCATGATTTTCAGGATCAGACAAATAGTTTGCATAGAATTTGGGTGAATCTAATGGATCTCTAGACCTCAATTCTATGTATCCTTTGGATTTTGGATGAACTAGCATAGGTAATATCTGCAGAATAAAAACTTGTTTTAGTTAACGAAATAGTGTACAAAATCATAACATGTATATGTCATTGATGAGCCTTCATTATTATAATACATTTCGCAACAAAAGCAAACTTTATCTACCTCAGTATACAAGGTGTTTCTTTGTTCATATTCAATGAATTATTTTTGGGTCCATTTTGGAACAAAATCATATGAATGTATGCCCTAACGGTCTCAGCTTCTGAACTGCAGAGTACTAAAATTGACCAAAAAAAAATTATGAAGATCGGACAAAAAAACTTTTGAAACAACCTAATATACAGTGCGCATCATAAGTGTTACCTCCCCTATCTAACTCGTTACTGGACTCTTGTTAGTAAAATCGCCGATACACGTCGATTTTTTATTTCTCCAATGTACATTTTTCTATAATAGTTCACCCCTAATTCCATCCCTTACTGGCAGGGAGCAACCCTGTCGAAACATTTAAATAGCATGGGGTGGTGAGTGATAACTCATTTGAAAACGGGTTTCATTTTCTATTCAACCGTGCAAAGAATTATACCAGAAACATGAAGGCAACTAAACTAAAACTAACTTCTATTATTACAGTAAATGTTCAAAATGTTCCCCGTTGACCTCCTGGCGAAAATAGAGTCTATTTTTAGTTTCAGTAATGACGCTTTGCAAAGTATCGCGAGTAATTGTTGCACAAACTTCCGTAATCCGTGCACGCAACTCTTGAATGGAGTGACACTGAGTAGTTTTCAGATTTTAAGTAACTCCATAGGAAGAAATCCAATGGTGTTAGATCTGGTGATCTTGGAGGCCATTCCACAGATCCTCGGCGCCCGATCCATCGTCCTGCATAAACTGTATTCAAATAAGTCCTCACAGCAACTGCAAAATGAGGAGCTCCATGTTGTTGCAGAATAATGTCGAGGATTCTCATCGGACCAGTACCTCACATTTTGTCTATGCACCATTTAAAAAAAGTAGCTTCATCAATGAAACAAACGTGATTCAAATAGCTGAGATTTTGCAAAATATTGTTAGACAGTTTCACAATATTCTAGACGGCGGTCTGGATCATCGTCTGTCAGTTCATGCACCATTTTTATTTTGTAAGGATGCAATTTATTTTTTATGAACTCTTTTATGAACTCTCAATATCGTCATCTGCGAAACCTCGCTCATAATGTCTCCTTGTTTATCCTCTTCTATAGTTGATCGCTCAGAACGTGTTTTATTTTGCACACTACCGTTCTCAAAAAATTTCTTCACTAACTGTTTGAAATAATGTCTGTCTCTGGGGCGATCTGGAAAACGTTCATTGAACATTCGTACTGACTCATGATAATTACGATGGACCTAACCAAAAATAACAATCGCTTTGCATTTCTCATTTAACGCACGTGGTGCAACTATTGTTTGAAAATGAATATCAAGCACAACCAACAGCTGGAATACACTGACTCACACTCTCCGTGATATCAGTTTCTTGTATTGACCACTAATTCTCAAATATCCAAAAACACCTACAAAAATGTGCGGATAATATCTACGCAAATGACGTCCCACCTGACGTCTGAACCAAAACCGATATCAGGCAAACAGGGCCGAATTTTCAATTCTAAGGGTGATTATGCTACGTTAACTGTCGTTATTCTCAAAGAATCATAACTCTTGAATGAATGTAGCAAATTTCAGTTCCTTTTCACGGTTGAATAGAGAACAAAAACCTATAAAATGAGCTATCACTCACTACCCCATGCTATTTAAATTTTTCGAAAGAGGTGGTCCCCTCCAGTAAGAGATGAAATTAGGGGTGAACTGTTTATACTCAAATAGACATTGTAGGAATCAAGAGTCCAGTAACGAGTTAGATAGGGGGGTAACACTTATTATGCGCACTCTACATATGAAAAAAAATTATGTTAAAACTTCAATATTTTGTATATACAAAGCTGAAATCTCCAGGACATATAATAAAAATAATAATAATAAAAACAATGATAATAATAGTGTCGTCCAATCGCTTTCCGAATCGGAAGGACGAAATCCCGGCCTTCCGATTCGGAAGGTTGAACGGCGTGTACACAAGATGAAGGCTAAGATTACGTTGGCGAAACAACACGTCTCGTATCCAATGTGTGAGGGATTACTGGGCGGCCAACAGGCCTTTCACGCCCGCAGGTCGGCGAATAGCCGCCAAACTACGGCGTACCCATCACACTTTAAGTCAAGGCGTGCTGCTGGCCACCAAACAACTCTGCCTTGATAAGATACGAATGCCAATGGCTGCTAAGAAGCCACTACTTAGGCGAGCGAGAAGTATCGCGGAAAACTATCTTGCTTATTCCAAGAGCCTCCACATGTTGTGGATAATCCGCCGACGGCTGATCAGGTGGAATCCTTCTGGAAATATATCTATGAACCCCCGCAGGAACTCAACTTAGACTGGGCAACCCTAGCGCAGTTCGAAACTTTCAATAGAGAGCATCGACAGCCTGAACTCAATGAACTGCGTAACCCGATAACCCCGGATGACATTCGAAGAGCCCTTGTGGGTTCCAAGAACTTAGCTGCTCCAGACCCAGATAGTCTGAACACTTATTTGTGGAAAAAAAAACTAACAAGCAGCCACCACCATCTTGCCAGAGTTTTCAACTCATGGCTGGAAGGAGAGCAGCCGCTTCCGGATTGGTTTGTCGAGGGGCGGACCGTTCTTATCCCCATAAGCGAAGATTTGTCAATTCCTAAGAATTACAAACCGATAACATGCTTGAATTCGTGTTGTAAGTTGTTTACAAGCATCTTATACACACGAATACTCCGCAGTTAACCGAGTGTTCAAACGGATATATGAGCAGAGAGGGTTGAACAGAGGATTAGCTGGGTGTAAAGAGAACCTGCTCATCGATAGATGTGTAACGCAGGACTCGATACAATATAAGCGTTACCTGTCTATGGTCTGGATCGATTACCGTAAGGCATTTGATACAATATCGCATGAGCTTATCTTGCCTTTGCTCAAATGCCTCGCGGTACCCGACAAAATAGTGAGATTCATTGAACAACTGATACCACTTTGGTGAACTCGCTTCATCATAACATCTGGTCAAGCAAGAGTCCAAATGGGGTGGGTCACTTTCAGAAGGGGTGTATTTCAGGGCGATTTCCTCAGCCCCCCTTTCTTCTGCATCTAACTATTGTCAATATCCGTTGCACTCAGAAATACTCGAGGATATAACTGTGGCACCCCCGGAAACCGAAGGCACAAGGTCACCCATTTGTTTTATATGGATAATCTTAAACTTTATGACTCTGAAGAGAAGGATCTCCACCAGTCCTTGAGGGTGATACACGCATACTATCGGTATGAAATTTGGGGAAGACAAATTTGCAAATGACGACGATGCGGGAACTACGGAGAAAATGTGTAGCTCGTAGATGGAAGCATCCTACACCATTTGGATGTGGGAGAGACGTATACTTACCTCGGGGTGAAACAACGTCACTCATAAAAGGTAGCAACAGTGAAGAACTCTCTCCGCGGCAAGTATCATCACAAATTTCGACAGATCTGGTCATCGGAACTGTCGGGGAGGAACAAAGTTGCTCCAACAAATATGCTTGCCGTTCCAATCTTACTCTACTCTTTTGGAGTAGTGAAGTGGACTCGGGAGGGGAGCTGTATCAACTCAACGTAAAGACCCAAAAATGATGCACCTCTTTAGGAGTTTGCATCCCAAATCGTCCGTTCCACGGTTGTACTTTCCTCGGCAACAGGAAGGTCGTGAACTTTTGAGTTTGGAATGTCTACATGATAGAATGGTACTGGATATAGCTTGTAAAGTCGTCAGGAGTTCGAATCCCCTTCTCTGCATGGTTGGTTCAGTTTTCGACACTGAACAAGGTGACCACAACTCTGTCACCGAGTTCGAACTCGTTCAGCAAAAAGCTCATATAAAATCTGCAGAGATCTCCTCACTTCTGCGAAAACACAAGGATAAGCCAAGTCTTCTTCAATAACATTGAAAACCTTGGCTTCCTCAGGTCGAGTGGACTGAAGTCGGAAACTGAGGGGTTCCTCATCCTGAGGAGTTGCCATCCTGCCAGGATGGCACCTTAGTCTACCGCAGTCATGGAATGGGGTTCCTGACACAAGGTGCAAGGCCTGCCGCGAGGCGCCCGAGACCCTAATGCACTTGCTATCAGCATGTCTAGCATATGCGGTCTCGGCCTATATCCATCGACAAAACGCGGCCCTGAGAGTGCTATATTATCATCTACGCACTCTCACGGTATTGACGAGAGATCGGTGTTGCCCTACGCTCCAAGGGATATTGAATCCTTTGTGGGGAACGGGAAGTGCCTAACTTATTGGAACTATTCGTTCCCCACCCTCAGGCTCATACAAGCTAATAAGCCTGATGTAGTCCTTCTCGACTATATCAGGCTTATTAGCTTGTATAAGTATAAGAAATTCGTCCGAAAAGAAGAGGAAAAATGGATAAAATGTCGAGATTTCCTCTTCGAACTCCGCAGACTTTATCCAGACCTCTCTGTCAAGATGGTTGTTCTGATTACTGGAGTGCTTGTGGAATGATGCCCTCTCTACTCTCGAATCTTAAAATCATACCGGCTTGCCCCACTCAGGCAGAAATCTTAGCCGGACAGATGCAGAAGGCTGTCATTCTTGGCTCACTGCGTTTGCTCAGGGCACATGATTCTCGGACCCAATGATCACTTACCCCACGGTGTGGGGAGTGGTCATTGGTTGATTATGCTGGCGCG